AGTCTGTGAGGACCAGTCTAGCAGCCCTCCCGGAGCCGTTGGGAGCAGCAGTGAGTAAAACAGCTTTTTCCTGTGTCCTATGTATAAACGAGCGCTTAACCCTTGCAGTTGAGGGGAGACGCAGGCCTACTGCAAGGGAAGTTTTTTGGTCTGCCCAGAGATGGGCTTTAATGTTTTAAACACCTTGTTTCAATGTATAGTTTGCAAATATAAATGTATGTACAGTGTGGCAGTCATATTTCCTTCAATATCTCTCCAATCAGCTGCACGAAACCAAGGTCCATAGAAATCCAACTTTATTGTTGTACATTCCATGCAAAGTTCAAAATACACCACCATAGTATCTCTCCCATTCCAATGCCAAGAGGTTACCATGGTGGTGTATACCTTGTATTTTGAACTTTGCATGGAATTTACAACAATAAAGTTGGATTTTTATGGACCTTGGTTTCGTGCAGCAGATTGGAGAGATATTGTTTGACAAGTGGGAGCACACTGCAGCCTGCACCCTATGTCTGTATTGATCTGCAGTCTGGTGCAACTGGAGCGGTGAGTCTTTTGTTTTTTGGGATTTAGTCGTAGTTCCTTGTTACATATGTGGGTTGTCTACTCCTGCTCTACCCTGTATACTGTGCATAGGGAGTGAAGCAGTAAGAGGAGACTGTTTCCTGGATCTCCCAGGATGCAAGTAAAAATATAGGGTGAACTGGCCTAGTGTATACCCCCACAAATGTGTATTTGGACCCTTTGTGTGAATCACCCATATCTCTTTTCACCTGTTACATAAACACAGAAATGATACTTCCCCTTAAAGTGTATCTAATGTCAATTTTTTTTTAGTTTAGGAAAGAATGGCTAGACCCCCTGTTTGATTATCATTGCTGTTTGTTTCCTCATTAGAGCGATTCACTCTCTTTTTGTCCTGAGACTATTGCCCCAGGGGCTAAAAGTGAGGAAAAAGTCAAACTTTGTAGTTGTCACCCCAAAAGGACACTGGTTCCAGTGCCACCTGTCTTACTACGGCCTTCTCAATCATTGGAAAGATTTCCTCTCATCTCATGTTTTGCCTGCAGGACAGGAAGTGAAGGTAAATCTCCCTGGAGCACAGAAATCAACAAAGACCCATTTACTACTTTATCAAATTAAAAATAGGGCCCTTGTTAAAGCACCCCCTTACTCCAGGCTTTTACCAACTTATGCAACGGGAACATATCCAGTGACTGTCACATGGGACAGTACAGTGTTGCCATTAAGACTTTGGTTCAGGTTTCCTGCTAACATGGGTTAGTGGAGAATCTCCAGGATTCGCGGCGTTCGCCAGTAGCAAACATTTGGCCAAAAGGTTTGCACCAGAAGAAAAAACAACCTATAATTCAGTGGATAGCCTTTGCTCTGGTCAGCTGAATCACAGGAGCCAGTAATTTGAAGGAATGGATAACCAAAAGTGGGTGGGGGGCACACAGCAGCCATATTGTCAGTGTGTTATGAAGCTGGGAAAGCTGACAGTTCAGTGTAGGAATAGACACTGTTTTTACTTTAGCATTGACACATGTCCCCCATGGCAGTGCCCAGCTTCTCATACATTTTGTTTGACATTAGCTTCCTTATCTGCCAATGGTCAAATTTGCAAGACTGTTTGTGACCTGAACCCAGACAGATTCACTCATCCCTAGTTGTCACTGAGAGTAAACCTGCCCTGAGAAAAGCCATGCAGCTATCACATTAATTTCCAGCGCTCCTCGGCTCCATCGAGTGGCAGTAATGTTGTGTGAATGCTTTATTAATTAGCCCCTTAGTGTCCTTGTATTAAGTAGCATTAAAAAAAGGTTTTATATTCAGTGTTAGATTTAATGTGTTTAGGTAGGATAAAACAAAAAAAATACCTACTGTTGTTTCTGGACCATACTACAGGTACAAAAAACAAATAACGCACACATATGTGTTATTGCTGTGAATGTCAGGAGTAGGAGAAATGATTCTCCTACTTGGTGGTAGGTAATAGTAATGACAGGAAATATATAGCTACACTTAAAAAAAAATGTTTAACTCCTTTTCTTTTGATTAAAAAAAATATAATCAAGAGATATCCATTAAGAAATAAAGGCCCAATTTGTCCTGAACAAATCAAGGTATAGAGCACCTGGACACATGGAGTAGCTGCAGAGATCCTGCTCCTTTGATTTTTTTCTGCACTATGGTTGAAATTGATTGTCAATTAACCCCCATTAACTATTAGAAAATTGAACATGTGTTCCAAAAATGATTTTTTTTGAATGAAATTCTACTGGTGTACAGCCAGCTTAAATGTCATCCAGTCTGGCTTAGTCCAGCACTACGTTTGCTATTTGCTCGTAGACACTCATTAGACAGCTATCTTCAGTCTGTGCAACAAACTGCACAACTCGCAGCAGATTCATGTAACTGTCTGTAAGCTGTATAGGAATCTTTTGCTAAATTCTCTCATTGTCTTATTTTGTAATATTAAACCTTCCCTTTTTTTTTACTTTTTCTATTTATGGGGGCCAGACTTACTTTAACCACCTGATGACCGGGGTGTTAAACCCCCTTCCTGTCCAGGCCATTTTTCAGTATTCAGCGCTGCAGTACTTTGACATTTATTCCGTCATGCAACGTTGTACTGAAAGGAATTTTATACCATTTTTCGGGGACACATAAAAGTTTTTTTTGGGTGGTATTTAATCACCACTGGGGGTTTTATTTTTTACTATAACAAAAAAAGTACCAACTTTAAAAAAAACAAAACCTGTTCCCCTATGAAATGTTATGAAACAAATATTATCACCCCCATTTTTTGGTAAAATATAAAAGACGGGGTCACGTCGGGTAAATAGACACCAAACATGTTAAGCCTTAAAATTTCGCGCACCCACAAAATGGCAAAAAACTACCACACCCAAAATTGGCCATAGGCGACGCATTAAAAGCTTTCGTCACTCATCAGTTTAGTGTTATCAGTGATTAATGACCCTAAAATTATTCCACATGATCCGACATTCGCGGTGATATGTAACATGTGTAGTGCAATGTGCGCAATAGCCGTTTTAGCACGTAGGGGCCCCCGATGCATGTTTGCATGTGTATGTGGGGCAGGGGACTTTTACATTTTTGTGTTTTTGTTATTTTTTATATGTGATTTTATTTTTTATGCTACTTTAATTGTTTTCACTTTTTTACACTTAACTTTATTGCTATCACATAGGGGGCTAAGACATCAGGGGTCTCCAAGACTGCTGTTTCCTAGGGACCCCCAGAGAAGCTGATGAAGCAGAGATCTGCTTCACCAGCTTCTCCCTGGCTTCTGTAGCCAGGAATGACAGCTGAATGCGGAAGTGATGTAATATACATCACTTCCCCATTCAGAGTAGACGGAGATCAGAAGATCGTGTACTGCTCTCCTCTGATCTCTAGTGACAGAACTACTGTGCCGGTCCCGGCAGGGGGGGGTTTGGTGGCGCACACCCTCACAAAATACAAGCAATCCAGTGGCTCCATCACCGGCTATTTACATTTTAGGTCGTTTTAAAACACCCACACCTACAAGGCTCCGGTCTGGCCATTTATGTACGGCTGGTGGACGGGAGGTGGTTAATCATTTTTTTTATACTTTAATTTTTTTATTCCCTCATCTAGTGGTACCCCCCCTTGTACGGGTGCCTCCATGAGCTAGCTGGCTGCTGTGGAGGCTCACAGCTGTGCCCGCAACTAGCTGTGTGCGTCTAGACATACCCAGTATGCGTCAAACCACAGCTATGGCTTCTCTATCCTCACTACAGTTCCCCACAACCAGGAAGTTCAGGGAACCCCGAGTATCCTCCTGCTCGCGGCAGAGGATACAAGCGGCCACAGGTAAGTGTGTGGGGG